TTATTTCGTATTACTCGTTTTCGATGATCTCCAACGCAAACATCAAATTTAGACTCATCGCTAAATATGACCTTATTCCAATCATTTTGTGTCCATGATAATTTAGATTTTGCCCAATTGTAGCGATTTTTCTTTTGAATTTCTGTCAGTAGCGGTTTTTCTTTGGCCTAAATAAGAATTTGTATCAATAATCTTCAGGTAATTGATTATCCACACAAAATAAAGTTTAACTTGTAAAACCCCAGACCGCATTTGTGGATATATTTTCGGCAACATTCTCTTGATATATTTAAACCAGTTAAGGTATTTCATTTAACTGTTACTTCGCGAAGAGTACTTCTTCTCGCAGACTTGCAAATTTTTACTAAATTTCGTAAATCTTTCTAAGATACAACTTTTGGCCTTCCCGAACTTTTACCTCTAACGTCTACGTTGGCAGATTCGCCGTATTTTTTTATTATATTAAAGACCGTGGTTTTTGGAATACTTCAGAAACTTTTCGAATTGTTTTTCCCGTACTGTATTGACGAATGATAATTTCGCGTAGTTTTTGATTTGTAGCTTTTCCACGGATCATTACTTTGGATTAAATTAACAAAATTGAAAATTAAAACGTCTTACAGTAAATCTCATTATTCAAACTATCGAGTCACTTACAAGCTGTCAATGCTGAAGTAAACAGTTTGCGACATTTGTGACGTTTATAGCAAAGCCGCCTATGATGATATTAATTATTTAAAAATACTTGTCCCAACGTTTAGTTGTCAGCAAATTTGTCCTTTTATGAACAAAATCCGCTACTGTAAATATAGATTGATTTACAAATTCATAAAAATATTGCCAAGTTGTTTAGGATATATGGCTATGTTTATATTTAAAAAATTAAACATATATTTTTCAGTCATTTTGAAAAACCAGGGCAATAATTCCATAATATGACCTTGTCCCAACATATAGTTGTTAGGGCTCGTATATTTTAAAACAAAGTAACATAGTTTTATACAATTTTGTTATGATAACTAACAATGGCTAAAATTGATGTTATTCACTGATTTTCTATTTTGTTTGGTCTCAGCGGCAAATAAATATTTAATTTTAAAATTAAGACGTTTTCCCGAGCGTTTTCAAATGCTCTTTCTTGTAGCAGAAATGTATGGCAATTTTCATATGTGCCAATATTAAAAAAAAAAAAATTATTATACACTTTCTATTCTTGGAAAATTTGAAGTTCTTGAACCTTGTTTCTAAATATTCTAAGTTTGATTTTCTTGGATTTAGGATCGGGAAAACGCGGATTAGGTTTTCATTTGGTTTAAGTATCTTTATTTGGTTTTAAAAAACAAACATTTCCGCTAACATTATAGCCTCATCAGTGTAATGTCATAACAAAAACAGTGTTTTTCTGGACCTAAATCCCAAGAAAATCAAACTCAAAATAATTACTATATTAATAATTTAACATATTAATATTGTTTTTTTAGGTGTATATTAATATCTTTTTTTTAGGTGAAGACTACCATTTTAAAATAATAAGTCCTTTTTACCATATGGGGATATCTTTATTAAAATTAATTATATGACAGTCACTGGATATTATAAAAGTAATAAAATATTTTTCGAGACTTTGACGCAAAAAATACAAACGTATTTTGCTTTTAGAAAAAATAAATAAATTCGTACACATCAGTTGTCTGAACAAATTGCTGAAGAGTCTTTAAATAAGTTTAAAGTTACATAAAAATATATACATATACCTAATTTGCAACTCTGCAAAACTAATTATACTCTGGAGTTTTTATACAATCCGTCCAATAAAACATTTTGTGATCTAATTTATAGACAAATTTAAATGTATTAGGTTAAGATTATTTTGAGATGTACCTAGTTTCTTTTTAAAAAATTTTCCATTTCCAGTTTAATCGTAATCATAATCACAATTTTAGTCAGTCATAAGCACAATCACTCAATTTTAATATGCGTTTATACAACATAGTTTTAATTTTAATCATAACTTTGAGAAAAAAATACAGTTGAACAATAACCTAATTTTCTTATTTTTTTATTTTAGAACTGTACTATTTTTGTTTAAATTTTATTTCTCAAGATTTTTAAACACGAAAATTATAATAATTATTAAACATGAAAATGAAAAAAAAAATAAACAGGACTTAAGTCACAGCAGTGCACTAAAATCTTTGATTAAAATAGTTATTTGTGCAGCTGGTGACTATTCAATGCGCGCTCGTTACCTACAGAAGCTGTGTTTAGAATTTAATGTTGAATCCAAAAGTCATAAAATGAATGAGGCTCGTTATTTTTAAAATATGCAAATTGGTAGGCAAAAGCCTTTCGGTTAAATCGGGAGTACTACAAAGTTGAAAAAATATTTAAAAAAATGTACTTACACCTCAAAATATGCTTAATTTAAAATATTTAGATTTGGACGTAAATTTGATCTTAAAATAATTTGAATAAAGGAGTTGTGTGAAAAATACTCTACATGATAATTTGATATAAATTATATACCTTGTGTACAAAACAACTGAACACATATGGAAAAATGCATTTTAGGTTCTTCAGAAATTTCTATTTTTGAGTCTCTGCACCGAGTAATAAAGAATAAACTAGTTAAAATTTCGGGATGCTGTATGGGACACAAACGAGCTTCAAAAATGTGAAATTCTTTTTCTCCCAACCCTGTATTTAATTACTATCAACCTTTGAATAAGAAGACTAAGGAAGGAGCATAATGATGCCCATGTATTCATGCATGGTGGGCGGAAAAAGGACTCTATGGTGGGGATCCTTGACCTTGATTGTGGCAGAACTTAAATTAACAGTGACACTATCGCGATTTATCGAAAAAAACTCTAAAATAGTTGGTTGTGTAGCGTGCGGTAGATCTCGGCAAAAATCGTGTGAAATAATGGAACAACTTTTCGCTAGTAAGTGACTATATAATATACATACGTAGTAAACAGATCATTTATGGAATTCACTTAAATTAACTAATTATATATTTTTTCTTGCATTTTTGCTTTTATTTACTACTTGTCAAAGATTAGATGTCAAAGAATTTAGATACGTCAATTTGACTTACCTGCTTCAGTAGCGTATAGGATGTTTGTGTTAATAAATAATTATTAAAACTTATCTATTTTCATTATAATATGTTTTATAACAATTTTAATAACTACCAACATTTATTCACAACGTAAAATAAAAAAAATATAGAGTCTACCCCACGTCTACCCTACATCATAGTTTTATATTTTTTAAATAAAATTAGAACGGCACTGAAAAACCGGAATTAAGTCGGCCATATTTGCGTCCCATCGCGGTGGACCTAAGATTTTTGATATGCTCCTTTCTTAGCCCACGGCCACACAGAAAGCGATTTTTGCGTTTTTAGCGTGAAGCGTCTTTACCGACTAAAACAAAATAACAGGATTATATAGGAGTGGCCACACCAAAAGCGTGTAGCGTTCGGCGTGTCTCGCAAAAAACGCAAATGAAAAGAAATCGGTTTGTTTTCTGTAGCGCCTTTAGCGTTTTCTAAGATGAGACCCCGTCATAGGCGGATGTTATATTTAATAATACAATAAAAATAAATTAAATAGTATGCATTTTTTTTATTTTAGGGTATTATCTAAAAATATTTTTATTAAATTTAAAAATTTGAAGGAAATGTTGTTTGAAATGTTGAAAAAGTAATAAATTAAAGGAATATTTTCTTACGCGTAAAAAATAGTTTTTTACGTGTAACAAATAGTTTTTTACACGTAAAAATATTTTTTTTGCGTAACAAAAGGTTTTTTACCAGAAACAATAAGTTTTTGACGCGTAAAAAAATATTTTTTTACGTGTAACAAATAGTTTTTTATACGTAAAAAATATTTTTTTGGTAAAAAAGTTTTTTTACCAGAAACAATAAGTTTTTGACGCGTAAAAATTAGATTTTTACGTGTAACAAATAGTTTTTTACACGTAAAAAATATATTTTTTGCGCAAGAAAGGTTTTCTACCAGAAACAAAAAGTTTCTGATGAGTAAAAGAGTTTTTTATGTGTAACAAATAGATTTTTACACGTAACAAATAGTCTTATACGCGTAAAAAAATAGTTTTCTACCAGTAACAAATAGTTTTATACGCGTAAAAAATAGTTTTCTACCAGTAACAAATAGTTTTATACGCGTAAAAAATAGTTTTTACGTGTAACAAATGTTTTTTTACGCGTAATAATTTGATTCGCTTTTACAAAATTTGTATTAAAATATCAATATTTTTGATAAACACGTGGACTGCACACAATTACACGTCGCGTCACTACGTATTTCTAAGCCGTTAACACGTTTCGTTACAACGAGCTCGTGTGTCAGGGCCGTCTCACTAGGTCGTATGTCACGGCTTTGAATTTTTACTCCCAGCGCGCGTAAAGACGTTTCACTCCATAATGTTTCATAAATCATGTCGTAAAATTGCATTAGCAACTAGAAATATTTACTATTCTATTATATAATTATAATTATTTATTATATTATATTATAATTATAACAAGTACTAACCACAACACTACAACATAAAAAAACTATACACATATAAACTAAAATTCCTAAAATAAATGGCAAATAATCATCATTATTTTTACATACACCACTGGCACTTGCGGTAGATTGTGTTTGTCTCCGAATATAAGCCCCGGCCCGTCCACAATTCAATCCCAGCATCTTTTATCTTCGTCTCTTCAACGCTAACGGCGCCGATCTCGCCTATCTCTTTCTCACAGGATTGATTGTTGGACGAGCCGGGAATCCACGAGCTTGCGACGTTACTAATTGACATTATTGATAGAAACTGCAGACCTGCCGGATCTTTTGCGTGTTTTTAATGGACACAAATCGAAAAAAGCGCTTAAAACGGTAAAATCGCAAAAAGCGCTTAAGACGTAAAAAACGCAAAACGCTAAAAACGCTTTCTGTGTGGCCGTGGGCTTAGTCTTCTTATTCAAAGCTATCAACATAGATACTTCAATAAAAGAAAATATCAAGTTTAATTAGAATATCTTATTATGTAAAATAAGTTTAAAGCCATATCCGAGTTATAAGTTAGTTAATAATGGTAGTGAAATAGTATATTCATATATTTTGTCCAATTTATCTTAAACACACTGTATAATCAATTACACTAATTATATAGTCTCTGTTCAATAGCCCCCCCCCCATACTCCAGAAGATTTGGCGTACAGAAAATACTTGGTCTGCGGAAAATAACTTTGTTGGTGTGGCAGGCCAACCTTTGGAGGACCAAGCGCCTGTCAAGCCAAATCCGCTAACTTGATCTGTCGGATTAGATTGGTCTAAAAAAACGAAGAATATAACGCCGGCGGACAGAGGCGCAATTAGGGGGGGTAGGGAGGGCTTAGCCCTCCAGACTCAAAATTAGCCCTCCCAGATGTTTGGTGCGGTTCAATAAAATCACGTGATATAGTCCGATTCTACGAGCAAAGGTGAGCAACAATCGTCAGGTTCTCATGGTTGATCATCCAAGTTATTGATATTAGTTTTAAGTTTTTGATATTATTTTATTAGGAGTACAAATGATACAATAATGTACTTCTTTTGGCATTTCAGGCGAGACACAAAAAGTCATTTTTACTTGAAATAGAACATGCCATTTTTTTACTAACATCACAAATAATTTGTTAAACAATTTCGAATGTTATAATATTTGCAATGGGAAATGCAGAATTTTATAATAATTTGAACTATATTTAAAAACATCACAACATCAAGACATTTAAACTATATCTAATAACAATAAAGATAAATAACAAACCAAAACATGAGATTTTGCTACAAGTGGACATTTTTCGCCTGTCTTCTGTTATGGACGGATGGCGCCGTTTTTCAATATTTCTCGTGGAATTCATTAAAGTGGGGGTGAAAGATACCTTCGCATAACCGCTAAGTACTTCTAATTATTGTCTAGATTATACGGGCAATTTGAAAATGAGAATCTTTATTCTTCCGCAAACAGAAAAATCCATAGGCGATAAGTCCAGCGGCATAGACGGCCAACGGCTGGCCACTTGGTTAGCTATTTATTATGCTCGAAATTGGCTGCAAAAATGTGTTGATAATTTCAGCATTCTGAGACGGTGCCTCGTTTTGCTGAAAAAAATATATTTTCGAGTTCCATTGGGGGAGATCATCAATAAGGGGTCCAAAGCCTACTAGTTAAAAATCGTGAACTAAATTCTGTATTGGTGGCTTTTTAAATTCTGTATCTCGAAGGGGACTATAACAAAATATTAATTGTGCTATATATTTTTGGAAAGGTAATTTTAAATTTTTTTCAGTTAATTAAAAATATACAGGGCGTCCCAAATAAAAAATGAATTTTTCTGTTAATAACTCATAAATTATTAATTGTAAAAAAAATATACTTAAACCATAAAATTTTCCATAGCAAAAAAGTTATAGCGATTTGTTAAAAATGCACATTTTTCAAAAAACACCCCGTAACTTCGAAAAGGTAACAGGTATCAATGTGCGGTTTTCACCATTATATTTTTGATAAAAATTGAGCTCCAGAGAGACTGATATTAATTTTCGTCTATCTCCTATAGAAAAGGGTGTTTCCCTTTAAAAGCGTCCAATTTGACCCACCCTGTACTTAATTCCATGGTATTATTAAATAAAAAACGAAAACATATTATGGACAAAAAAATTACTGTTTCTTTAAAATTGGTATTATCCTCAAACCAATATGACCTTAGAGGTCTCAGGGCTTAAGCCCCCCAAAAGTCAGTGTCTAGTTGCGCCCCTGCCGGCGGACTTTTAACGTTGTTTTTCTCTTATTAGATTAACAATGTTTTTCTAAGCGGCAGATTTTATTCCGCTAGACACTTATCCTTACATATAAAAACTGTTAAAAAAACGTCGAATTTTGTCCCAAAGACAAATATTTAATCGAGCAAAGATCTAATCGCCAGACTAAGCCGAGAGACCGCAAATACCAAAATACGAGAGTTTTGGTATGTAACAACCCAACTCCGCTGACTAAATCCGCTGACTAAATCCGCAGACCACGTCGACAGGCCAAATCTTCTGGTGTATGGGAGGCTATTGATTGAGAAAATATTGTGACAGATGATATCGAAAAAATCACAGAAAATATAAGTTAAATTGTGACTTAAAATGACAGACAACTTTAAAAAAAAGTTGGACAGACTATAGCGAAACATAATTCGGAAATTCGAATTTTCCAACTTTTTATACTGGGTGCGTCTCAAAAGTGGCTCACCCCTATAACTTTTTTATTTTTTCAGTTAAAAAAACTAGATTTGGTGTGTTAGTATATGACATAAATTAAGATTGATTGATGTATTCAATTGTTTTCGGTCACTTCCTATTTCACCGGAAATGACTACAACTTTTGATTTTTAAATGGCACCCTCGGTATTTTATTAAATTCAAATTCAAATTTCAAAGGTATCCGACGACGTAGAGGTTAGAGGTGAGCAAAATTGCGATTCTCAAATCGCAATTGAAACTGCGACCTCACTGTAACCTACGATTGCGATTTTAATATTTACCAAACCAAATTATTCGTCAAAAAGGCTTTTTCCAAATATGCTAATGAGCCACCCTCGTTCCATTTGAAATAATTGAGATATGATTAAAAATACGATTTGGGCATTTTCTAACTAGCCAGGACAAGACACTAAAAACATTAGACAATCAAATCTATTTTTCCAAGGCTCTCTGATTAAGAATTAGTGTTTTTAACATAGCCACTCTAGATTGAATTTTAAAATACGATTTTTTATTAAGCGAGATGTCAAAAGTTGACATATTATATGTCATTCTATTCAGAATGTCATTTTCTATCGAATAAAGTAAAAAAATTCTGAGGGTGCCATTAAAAAATCAAATTTTATAGTCATTTCCGGTGAAACAGGAAGTGACCAAAAACAATTAAATATGTCAATCAATCTTAATTTTTGTCATATACTAACATACCAAATCTGTTTTTTTATCTCCATAAATAACAAAGTTATAGGGGTGAGCCGCTTTTGCGATGCACCCGGTATAAACAGCAGATAACAATAACTTCAGAGCCACATAAAAATAAAATTTTTTAAATCAATAAAAATAATAAATATATCTTTTTTATTCAATTCATAAAACCAAAAAGTTGGTACATACAGTACTTTGGACAGCGTAGGTACATACATTTCCATCTTTTAGGTATATCCATTTAATTCCAGTTATTTACAAATGCTATACATATAGGTTATTGGTGCCTTCCTGTAAAATAAAATTGTATAAAAACCCAAACTGAAAAAAACTACAAACGAATATATAATGTGTATAATATACATTTCGAAAAATATTCCAATCTATAGTGAAATTAGTACCGTATGATCGAGAAAAAACGGCGTCAACGATGACTACGAAATGAAGATCGCTGTCATTTTATATGGGAAATGTCAATGATCGTCATTTCCCAGCCAACTGGACGCCGTTTATTTTCGATCATACGGTATAAGGGTAAAATCATTACTTGGAATTTACACATTCAAAATTTGCGTTATAAAGTTGGTAATCTAAATATTAACAATGTTATTTTTTATAGGGGGGACAGTAAAATAAAATTACTGCATTATATTTTATTGAGGGACAGTAAAATAAAATTATTGCATTAGAAATAATTTTTATTAGATCTGGCTTTTCTTGGGCCATTCGTACGTTAACTATACTCAATACAAAAATTCAGAACAACTTTTCTCGTATGGTAGGTTCAAACAGTGAAATAAAATAAAAATATAATAACATAAGAAAGTTGGTTATATATATGCAGGGTTCGGAAAACTACATGTTACTCTTAAAAATTACATTACATGTAGTTCCATCGACGGAGAAGGTGTAGTTCAAGATAAGTAACATTCAAATATCAAAGGTTTGGGGTGAGGTTATAAGTTGAAGTTTTAGAAAACACATAAATGTATTTGAGAAAACAGAAGAAATATGGCTTTAAATATAACATTCACCATATTATTTAGACCCCTAATATAAAGGAAAATCAGTAAACTAAAATCAGACCATATTATAAATCAGGTTGAAAAATACTATCACAAATCGTATTATTTCTTTTTATTCTATTTTGCTGTTTGAATAAGAATTCCTTATTTGTTATTTGATTTTATTTTGCTCCAAAAAAAATCCTTTATGAATATTTCGCCACTGCACTGCAAGAAAATCTACAAAATAAAATAGTCATTTTTTGTAAACACTTCTGCGTTAAACCTAAACGGACACTGCTTGTCAGAAGTTATGTTTACAGTTAACAGTTATACAAATTTGCCTAACAAAGAAAAAAATGCTTAACGTTTCGGAAAGTTTATATCTTTCCGTCGTCGGAAGCAAAAAAATACAAAGAATAAAGAAAAAAAACTATTTAAAATATTTAAATTCAACTATTCGAGAACACTTTACTTTTTTAAAACAGATACGTCTACAAGAAACCGTTGACGTTCTGTTAAAAAAAAATAAACTTTCCGAAACGTTAAGCATTTTTTTCTTTGTTAGGCAAATTTGTATAACTGTAAATATAACTTCTGACAAGTAGTGTCTGTTTAGGTTTAACGCAGAAATGTTAGATTTTCTTGCAGTGCAGTGGCGAAATACCCATAAAGGATTTTTTTGGAGAGATGAATTCGCCACATAGGTATAGACATTTTTTATTTTGCTGTATGAACCCACCATTTGACATTTTTTGATATTTTGTCACATAACCTCAGTTTCACATATTTGTAACTGGTCGCCACGGCAGTGGTTACAAGATGTCAAAATAATTATCTTTTGTTAATGGTCATGTCAAAGAAATTCCATATAAAGTTTTTGCAATAACTCAATAATCTCCTTTGTTGTGTACTTTTTGATACACCCTTTATTAGAATTAAAATTACATATATTTAGAAATGTAATCCATAGTATCCACAATATTAAGCCAGAGATTAATGATATTTAAATATTAACATTTACAAACAATAGAAAAATTGTAATAACTTTCAATGTAATCCCAAAAAAGAAAAAATATTTTTAACTTAGATTTTTTCTAATATCAAACCAATAAAAATAATTCTAATAAAAACGATATAGTGCTGGTATTAACAATTTACTAAAAATATAACATTGCTAGATATTAAATATACGCAAAGCAATAATATAAGTTAAATAAGATAGAAATTGTATAATTTTAATTTGATTCAGTCAAAGAGAGTAATTAAAGAACCATAATTTAATCAGTACCAAAATACTTCTGTCCAAAATGGTTGGGAGCAACTGGATGGACTTCAGATGTCAATATTTTCATCTAAAAATAAGTTTTTAAAATATTAATACTTTAAATAAAATAACTACAAATGAAAAACTCACCCTTGGATATGATTCTAATATTGTCTGCACAGCTTGAGGGGTGCAAAATAAATTACTTAAAATTATGCAGTCTTCTTTCACGCCATGTTCTTTTAAAACATTGACCGCTTTACTGACAGTGTTTCCAGTAGACATTATAGGATACATTAACAAAACCTGAAATAAACAGTATATTTTAAATAAATACTTATGCTTTTTTTGATTGGTGAATTTCCTATAAAAATCCCATTCAAAAATACCACAATGTTTAGCGATGATTAAGACTGGTCATTTTGTTGATCTTGCACAAAAAACAAGACCAAGACCCAGACTAGCTTTTGATATGCAAGGCCAAGACCCAGACTAGCTTTTGATATGCAAGGCCAAGACCAAGACTAAGCATGTCGATTCAATATAATATATTGAAAAAAAATTGTCAGAGAAATATCATAATAATGGGCTCTTTCACAAAAAATAAAATACCCAATTCAAGGACAAAATCTGAAATAGAAGACTATTTTCAGTATATTTATCCAAAAAAAAAATAGTTCCACGACATTCAATATTTTTTTATAGGCCCTCAAAATTGCTTTAATTTGAAATAATTTTAAAGCGCCAATTGATGACGTATGAAAAATACACCCAATCACATTGCAGAACCGTGCTCATGCGCCAGCCAACAATTGGCAACATTGCGATTTAATTTGACCAGCACCACCTCAACTCAAGGTCAATCAACATGATATGGGCAAGGCAAATATGGCGGCGAAGGCAGCGCATTATTAAATTGTTTACCTTTAACCTGAAAAGCCGGTCTTGGTTTTTCGTTCCGATTGCATACAAGAAATAATTAATTATCTCTAGTTTGTTGTGCTTCTGCAACACGTTTGTTTAGTTCTTAGTGTTCAGTGCATGGTGTGATTAGAAAATTGTGATAAAATAATAGTGTAATAAAAATCCAAACCAGACATTCCACATAGAGAACTTCAAACTTTTGTGCTTGTCGTACTCCTCTATTATTAGTTATTTTAAGGTAAGAACTAGCGAAGTATTTATCAAGATATTACACCTAAATGAGTAAAAAGCCTTAGCCGCCAGTCTGCATAGTACTTTATAATGGTTACTTACAATAATCAAAAGATAGGTATTAAAGGGTAGGTATTAACATTTTATTGTAGCATGCCTTTTACATGCTCTGTTCCAAATTGTAACGGGAATTATAGAGGGGGTCCCAAGGTTTCTGCTTTTATATTCCCCAAAAATGACGAGCTTCGTAAAAAATGGTTGACAGCTATTAAAAGAGATAATTTCACTCCTACTAGTAGTTCTCGGGTAAGAAGTGCATTAAATATGCCTCAAAAAGGTCAAAGGCCAAAGCCTCTGTTACCCTAGTGAGGATGTAGTTATGGCTACTGCTTACATTTACCTCACTATAAGTAAAATATTGGAAGAAGAATCAAGCTTTTTACATCAAAAAGATCACAGAAAGATATTGACAACATTGACATTTGAAAATATAAATGGCCTGGATGTAAGTCTTTTTTTAGGTCACTTTTGTTCAGAATATCAAATATATTTTATTGAAGAACTATGCAAAAAAAGGACTGACGTCTTTACCACAAAGACAATACCCTATGTAAAGAGAAAGAGTAAAGAAAACTAAGCTAAGCGTAAGTTTTACTTACGAACCCCCAAAAAGGTATTTAGTTTTTTTTTCTATATAAAATCTTGAAACACATATTATATTTTTAATTTATCCTCACCTATTATAGTTTAAATTTATTCCCATTTGTGTAATGCTGCAAAACATAGAAAAATATTCCATATTTTTTGACCCAAGCCAGTGTAGTTTATAATTCGAAGAGCATTTACCAAGGCTTTTACTAAGACAAGTAACTTCCTATACTGTCCATAATAGTATATATTTATCAAACGTTCAGTAAATTCTAAACTATGGTAGGTAAGTGTTTGCAATTGAATATTTAGTTTATATTGCTATTTTCTGTCATATATTTCGGGTTATTTCTTTTTCCGATGATTTTTAACACCCTATATATGCTACTTCAAGTTTGAATATTTTAACACTACTTATTTTCTGAGAAAGCAGACCTTTTTATAAAAAGTAACTAACTGATGTTTTCATAAAAGTAATAATACAAAAAATTCCATACTTATGTGGAGAACTTTAGACTCCCTGTAAATTAAAAAATTAGTGAAATATTACGTAATCTAACCCGATATTTGTGTGAAAAATGTCTATTTGGAAACAAAGCAGGTTTTAAAATACGCGCCAATTAAAGCACTTCTATCTCCGCCATATTGGAAAAGGTTGAATGGCCTTGTGTGGAGGTGGTGATGGGCCAGCATGGTGGCCCGGCCGCGGCCCTGTTGCCGCTTTTCAATATGCCAGGTGTGACGTATTAAAAATAAAGTGCGGATTTTTATTCTGGGGATTTTGGTTTTTATTTATTTTCTTAAGAACGACTTCAAATTTTTCAAAAGTGAGATAACAGAAAATTCTAGAATTAATTGTTTTATTCAATTATGCTAATTCCAAAATATAGTGAAAGAGCCCATTACTTTAAATTTTTATTTGCATCAAATTACTAAAAATCAGGGTGCAATGTTTTAAATCAACTTGATTTAAATCAACGGATTTTTTAAATTTTAATCATGGATTTAAATCAAAATAATCAAATTGTTTAAAAACTCATGATAAATCGAAAGATAACTGTAAAAATTGGTCAAATGCGAGTCGGACTCGCGCACGAAGGGTTCCGTACCATTCATTATCTCTACAACATTAGACACTATATTATTATAAACTTTTTTTCCGATTTAGAAGAAACACATTACTAAAAATTGTATTAATCAATAATAAATATGTAAAAAGTAAAAATAAATATGTAAAAATATATAAAAATTAAAAAAAAAACGATTAAAAAAAAAGTCGCCTTGACTAGGATTCGAACCTGTGCCTTACTACGGTTCCAACGTCATAGCAGCGTAAAGTCCTACTTTAAACCACGCGGCCACCGAGTACTTGAAAGATTCTATGTAAAATTCTTACTTGTGTGTTTGATAATGTTTAGTGAAAGTACTTTTTTATTTATAAACATTTATTTAATTCTGTGTTTAGTATATAGCGGCAACATATATACATTATTTGTAAAAATTTCAACTGTCTAGCTATAACGGTTTATAAGATAGACCTTTGTGACAGACGTAGTAGTCTTAGTAATAGGGTTCCCGTTTTTACCCTTTGGGTACGGAACCCTAAATATTATAAAAACTTTTCCTATAAAGCTATGAAAAAGTATTCCTATATTAAATACACCCTATGTCTATTTATCAAATAAGTATAAAGTTACACTTGCTGTTGTAGGTAACGTTTAAATACTTTAGTAGATCGAAAAATAATTGTAAAAGAATTAACATATAACACATATATCCCTAATATCTATTCAACTATTAAAACGTTGGACCGATTTTTGAAGTTACTTCGTGTAAATCCCTTACACTTCTGAATGAAAGAGATTTATTTTGAAATTGTGAAGTGCCAGAAATCCGGTATTTGAATACATTTCATTCTTAAAACTCTAGTGCAGAACCTATGTGTAGAACTAGTTTCTTGTGATGTCAGATTATATTTTTATTCCCGAGGACTAATCAATGTCAAAAGATAAACTAGAGTTTAATTCAAGGCTCTTCAAGTTCTAGAGAGCTAGATCTTCTAGTTCAAGGCTGTTTTATACCTTTTTGAAATAGCTGAATGTTGATCAAGTCTTCTAGTTCATTGCAAATTTCTACCCACATTTTGTTCTGCAATAAGTACTTTGCACTTCGAACATTAGATGGTACTAATTTTATTCTCGACTTAAGACAGTTATGACTATTTCCAAAAAAAAATCCCTTTGAACTAAGTGGCCGAATTTTTTTGCGAAAATAGGGCTATCGGCAAAGTTTACAGAATAAAATATATCAGTGACCCATGTGGAAAAACGACACGCGCAATAAAATGTTAATATTGTCAATATCGGGCAGAGTTGCAAAGACTTGGCCATTTAGGATAGGACTTTAAATAGAAAATTGATTAAAATAAAAAAAATCCTAAAAATAAATAAAATCGATTTTTTGATTTAAAAAAAAATCATGATTTTTTTGCAGCCTTCTAAAAATATTATTTATTTAAAGATTTTCTATGTAGAAAAAGTGCTTCATTAAAAAATGCAAGACTAAGAACAAGACCAAAACTGGACCCTGCAAGTCTAAGACTAAATAATGTTATAATTCATCTATACCGAATATACTATACCGAGTGGTTGATGCAATATCTATGTATTAGCATTTTTAGAATACTTTTTGTACATTTGAATCACTCTTAAAATTATAAAATAGTAAATTCATTATTTTATTTTTAATTGAAAATATTTCTTTTCAAAACTATAATTATATTGTATAGTCTGTCCCTGACAATGACAGTTGTAAAAGTAAAGATTTCTGTTAACGCCTTCTTTTTGCTGCCAGGGCTAATCTGGACGGGGCCTACTTGTTTACGCGGAATCCGAACCGCGGTCCTCGGCCATATCATGGTCAATGGCCTACCGACTTGGCAAGTGTCTAAATCGACTCTTACTCACGAGACATCCGATCTCATCCGGCCTCGAACCGCCGTGAATGAGCAGTGTGTGTCAATAGATTTTACACTTTTTTTTTTGACAACAGCACGATACACAGTTTCGAACCGGTCACCCGTCCATCCACTAGTATCGCCTTACGTCGCTTAACTTCGGTGTTCTAATGGGAACCGGTGTTTCGACGTAGCTGGGCCGTTGCCCAATGACAGTTGTGTCAGGATGTCTTTTGTCGAAATTTTCCCTGACTTGTTGAACAGACTGTACATTATATTGGTTAGTATATACAGGGTGAATCAAAACAAGAAACATGAATATTGCTTATTATAAACAGGGTAAATCAAAACACCTTGTGATTTCTCATAATAAATTAATGTAGGTTTAGTTTTAGTTAATTTCCTGATAATATTTTTAAATAAATTTCGACTTTTAATCACTAATTTTCTATTTCACATTGGATATTTTCAGTTGCAACAGGATAATAATGATAAATAATGGCATTCAAAAAATAACATACAAATACAATTATTTACCTGTGAAATAAAAATATAAACATGTATCTTCTCAAGGAACAAACTTTACAATGCCCCAGGATAGAATAATGACTGACAATTTTTAGATGATTTCTGTCAAAGTTACCCTTTCTCTCCTTGAATAGATTTATAAATTGTTTAAGCAGGTACAATGTTCTTATGTTTTATATAGGTATAACTCACATATTATGAATAAACAGTAGTTAAAGAAAATAATTAGATAATATAAGAAATAGTTAATATAAAAACATGTTCTATGTATATTACATCAAAATAAAGTTTAGTCAAAATAAATGTCCTAGCCAGAAAATTTTGTAACAAAAATTATATTCGGTAATAAAAATATATAAAAGATATTAAGATATGTCAAAGAAAAAAAAATTGTTAATATGCAGTCTCTGTTTTAAAATTTTTTATTGATTATTATAACTTGCATATAATTGCATATAAATAAGTTCATGTGATGGTTGTGCTGTTGACCTATGACTGCAAAATGATCTTTTCATTGAACCTCGATTTGATGATTATATTTTTTTGTAGCACGAGTAATTATTTATATTCTTAACACCAAATACTAATTAAATATTATTTTAATATTTTTGGTATACAAATTTCAAGTGCTGAATCAAATTGCTCTCTATAATCTGGTTTTAATATTAGGCAGTAAAGATAATTATTAGTATTAATAAAAAGCTTGTCTTAGACGTATTTTCTTGATAAATTAGATGCCAAAAACAATGTCCATTAAATGTTGAAAAAAATGTATAATGGATTTCTAAAAGTACTTTATTTTTTACTTACATGCCTCCTTGCAATATCTTCTGGAAATCTAGCATAGACTACTTTAGCTTCATGAGTCTCGCTATCTGATTCAACTAAAATTTTACCTATTCTTATACTCCTACAACAATCCCTTAGACCCTGTTCCATAGATTCTCCAGATCTAACAATAGAAACTCCACAATTTCCGGACTTGTATTTCAATCCTGGAGAACGTCAAAATATTAGACATAAAATTTATCAAAGAAAAAAAAAATATTAGCTTAAAAAAAGTTGTTTCTGTTATATTAACAGATACTTTATGCTGTAGCCTGTTTTTAATCAAAATAAAATATTTATGCGATGCAAAAACTTAATGTTTACCTTTGTAAGTAGCACCAGTCGGAGTTATAACATTGCATTCAGTAAATGGAAGCTGGTTTAAACTTTCTTCTATAACAAGACGTATTAATCGATCAGCATAAAATTTAAAGTCACTTCGAGTAGTATTTCTGAAAGAGAATATATTAAATATCAATAAAAGCCTAGTTTATAGACTTTTAGAACTTACTTGTCGCGTAAAATTGTTTGCAACGCTTTTGTCTGGTCATTCGCAGGTAATATTTTTAAACGTTTATATTCTTTACAATATTCTAAGCCATTTACATAGTTATTATCAATATCTGTACTTCCCATATTAATTAATGAATTTATAACGATTTGAAAACACCAACTATTTCCACCTGACTTTCGATTTTTACCGAAAAACTTAGGTTAGCCAAGCGCGTGATGCAGAAAAGTGTTTAACCGTCAGCTTACACGTATAATTTGCTAGAAATTTGACTAAAACAATTTAAAATATTGGCGCAAGAAGATTTTACACAGGTCAGTTTAAAATCACTGCTTTTCACTAATAAATATTTGCATTGCATTTAACAAGTACTGCGTTTTGCGATTTGTTATGATTTGAACAGGTTTGAGGTTATTTTTTGTCTACGTCGCACTTTATGTCAAAGATTTGCTTTCTCTGTCATTTAAATGTCTATCGATCCTTAAGAGCCCCAAGACATTGGAAGCCATTAAGAGCTCCATTATTTTTTATTCTATAGTGTAATATTAAAATACGTTTGTAAAATATTTTTTTTTGTAGATATGGGTCGAACATATCGCAAAAGAAAGAGAAAACGTTGTCAGGCCAGCAGTATTAACCTGAATCATGAGAGTACTACAATAAATTTATTAAAATGGTTAAATGGTCACGATTTCTTAAATTCGGCAGCTTTAGAACTTCGACATTTTCCAATCACCGGCCGGGGAATCACATCAAGGAAATGTGTTAAGGAAAATGACGTTTTAATACGTATCCCAATGGAACTATTAATTACATTCGCAACAGTGGATAAAAGTGGTTTACTTCAATGTATTCGTGGGCAGAATTCATTCAGCATTCACGTTTTATTGTCTTTTTTTATCGCTATTGAGAAACATAAAAAGGAATCTTCTTTTTGGGTGAAATATATCCAGTCCTTACCGGATCCAGAACCGGTACTACCTTGGACTGATTTCAGTGACAATATACAACTATTTCCCGACGATATAAGAGCTAAATCAAGGAAGTTTTTAGATGAATTTAATGAGGGGTGTTTGAAACTAAAATCATCAATAAATGACCAAGCTTTATGTCAGTGTTGTAAGAAAACTCTAGTTTCTGTGTTAGACAAGTCCCTATTTAGGTGGGCTTATGTTCTCGTCAATACTAGGGCAGTTTACATTGACCCTCAATTAGTTTTGTCCATGTCTGATGAAGAAGGAATTTCCATTTTATCAGATAAACCTTCTATGGCACTTTGCCCTTTGTTAGACATGTTTAATCACCATTACATGGCTGGAACTAATGCCGACGTGATACAGGATAAAGGTCAACTGTATTATGAACTACGTACTTTAAGAAACTACAAAAAACACGAGCAATTTTTTATTTGCTATGGATCCCACGATAATGTTCGTCTTTTATTGGAATATGGATTTTTTATTCCAGGAAATGTAAATGATTGTGTTTATTTTAATTTAAAAGAAATCGTGAAAGTTTTAAACGTTTCTCTTTGTGAGAGACGATACAAATTTATAAAAAGACATCAGTTTGATGATAAAGATGTGTATGTACGTTTGTGCGAAGCGTCTTTCAATATGAAAGCTGTTCTATTTGTGTGCGTTTTTCCAAATGTTTTAAATTACGATGCTGTTGTATTTAGTGACTGTTATCCTAGTGAGTTCAGACAAATTATGAACGATTGTATAAAGACACTTTTGGAGTATAAATTGTGTATAATGAAGGAAGACAGTGAAAAAGTTAGTTCAACGTTATTGCAAAGTAAACATTTATCTTTATTAAAAACTTTTTTGGAATATAGAATAGAATTTGTAGAAACAATGTTATACCAGTTCAGTGAACCAAATATAACCTAACATTTGTTGCAATCTTGTTTCATTAATAATATTGATGTAACTGTGATGTAAAAAATTATACATTCACAGGAACGAAAAACAGGCACCCTAAAATTTTGATGTAAATTTTAAAGTTTAATATATTTTGTTCCAATGGGCCGATTTTGATGGTTGTTTAAGCAATATGTAGCTAAATTATTTTACTTTTTCGTATCTTTTTCTAAATTAAAAATGAAAGTTCCCACCTGTCAATTATACGAGGGAAATCAAAATGTCGATATTTTGGTGAGAGTTTGAAACACGCTGGGGAATATGTTAACACAACAAGGAATTTAAAAATAATTTTATCATCTAGGTACATCCTTTCTCGATATTTTGCTTTTTAGTTCATCACAATAGTTTTATTTTTGTTGGAGATATTCGCTATTGAAGAAGACACTAACAGTTTTTGGTAATTTTTGCATTAAAACCATGCGTTTTCCTTGGTCTTAATTTTAGATTATATTACTCCTAGTATTACTCCGAGTTTCTAGTCAACAGACCTGATAAGTTGTGGTTTGGCATAAAATATCATGATATCATGACCGTACATGTTTTCACTTACATGTACGAAGGTGTAATTCATTATAAATTTGAAAAGCTGACAAACGGCGGTTTCTTAGCGATAAACTTACTATAAGTCGATCTTCTTGATTCGCAGTTCTCATTCAAAGGGTCCTGGACGTGTAGCATATGAACTTGTCTCTAGGAAGCTGACTGCACTGTACTTCGTGAACGAATGACTGAATCTCTTAGCGGCATAATTTTAATCTCTATCATCTTCAATTAAAGCAACTATAGCGGACACAACTTCTGGACTTCCACTTCTGGAAACCATCTCTGCTAGAGTAATTTCAAAATAGCCAATAGACATAAATCATAAATACTACTCGTATCTCATAGGTCTGTTGGCTTGGACCAAAAGCAAAGACATGGTTTAAATGTCAGAATTACGAAAAAATGTTAGTGCGTCTTCTTCAAAAGCGAATATCTGCAAAAAAGCTATTGAGATGAACCAAAAAACACAGGGTGTTCCAAACTTTCACCAAAATAACATTTTGTGTTTTCTCGTATAATGGACAGATGAAAAATTTAAATTTTAACTTAGTAAAATAATTTAGTTACAAATTGCTTAAAAAATAATCAAAATTGGACTACCTAGAACACAATAATACCGGGTGCGTCTCAAAAGTGGCTCACCCCCAAGTAGCATTTTTACGACTTGCGACCACATGTTTACTAAACACAACGGTGGATTAGATACAATAAATAGTTAGCAGCGTACCTTGGGTATTAAAATAAATGTAAACGTTGTTGTAACGTTGTGCCGACGTTGAACTGGTACTACAACAAAGTAAAAGCTTCTGCGACGTCAAATAAACGTTGTCTTGTAACCTTTTTTGCTTAAATGATCTTTAGGTGATTCGAACAACGTAGTTACAATGTTGGGCAATAAAGAGTTTTCCGACGTCAGTTTCAGGACCTATTCCAACATTATGCAAACGTCGTCTGTTTTACTAATTCCAACGTTGTTTTTCAATTTCAATTTCAATTTAGTTTTACAGCCACAGCTCCAGGACTATCCGGCCGGGTGATAGAATATCTATCCTTTTTTCTTCTTCAATCTAAGACAAGAGAAGCTCGTAAAAGCGTCCGACTCAAAGTCGTTTCTCTTGAATATTTGTATAGTTTTTCAATTTAACAAAAAAAATTCTTATATAGTATTTTTGCTGGTAGATGCTGGTAGCATCCGGCTACATAGGGCCTGGTTACCCCCGTGACAACGTGAAAAAAGATTTTCTTTAAAAATATTTCACAAAAATATGTATCTGAATGAGACACGAACATAATTTAACATTTTTGCACCAAAAAATAATAGACTTTTATAAAACGATTACAATTGTATCTTCAGAATAACAACATGGACTCCCGAACAATCAGCCATCAGACAACATACGATGCTGCCTCGACGACAGACCGAACGGAAGTCCCCCAACGTTGTTTAAATTTCCTTATTCTTACGTTGGTAGGACGTCGAGCCACTACCTTTTTGCAACTGTATTGAACCATAACCTTAAATCTTAAATTTTCACTTCATTGTACTGGTCAGTCAGACACAGGTGGATGACACTTCTTATGGGAGAACTGGAAATGGTTGAAAACTTGACTACAAGCGATTTTCTAGGAATCTTCCTTACCGATAAATTATTGACAAGAGTGACAGATAAAACCTTGACATTCTTTCAGTATAACTGTTCATCTCTTTTTCTTTCCAAAGTGTGCGTTGAAAGGAGACAAAAACAATTTTTTGTAACCCATAATTTGTTATTCGAACACCACTTTTCTCCTTGTCGGGTCGTTGACGTTGACTTGTCGCCATTTTATTTCTTTTGTTTACACGCTGCATTTTGCTTTGCAAATTTAATACATAAATTATTTAGGCAAATATAGATTTTTAATAAAACTCCTCGGACTAACGTGTAGGTAAGTGTTGATAATTTTTTTTTCATCTTAACATGCTCATTGTCGTTCTCCTGATTTTAGGTGACAGAAAATCAAATTGAATTTTATATTTTCCTTCCTATTTATCCTAAATATCAACAAGATGAGCCATCGGAAGAAAGGGACCATAGTACAAAACAGAAAGGTGATCTTTTTTCTTTCCACTTCGGATATTGAAATTATTATATACTGTAATCGTGTTCGGCAGTATCACAGAATATCTAGCTACGCAACAGAAGCCTCGTTACATGTATAAAACTGTAGGTAGCAAAAGGAGACAGGCTTTAAAAGTCTGTCTCCAAATCAGATATTTTGATGTGGTAGTTTCGCTACTACATAATAGAGGGCAATAAATTTAAAAGAAAACAGTTTTCTACAAACAAAATTTAAAAGAATTTTGTGCAGTGTTGCCATTGTGTAATTCATATCGTAATACTTCCTGATAACCTTCAAATTTGCTACATCATTTAAACATATTAAAATAGATCTTATGAGCTAAATTACAATCACTTCCTGACGTTTGATTGTATAATTGAATCCTGAATTTTCATTGTAATTCGGGGACAATATAATAAGTATTGTTCTACTATTATGATACCACTTCCTGACGTTCGATTGTGTTCATACCAAGTTCATATTGTATAATCGGGAAAAAACGGCGTTAGCGATAGCTATGAAATGAATATCACTGTCATTTTATATGTAAATTTATATGGGAAATGTCAGCGATCGTCCTTTTCCAGCCAACTGGACGCCGTTTTTTTCAGAAGCATATCAAGTGACCATAATATAGTACTATATTACGATACATGGCGTTCGATTGGGTTTAAACTTGGTATATTATATCTTCAGTGACATTGTAATACCATGGTACCATGGAGCATATAAAGTGGTACCTTCTATAGTACCATATTTGATGACATAGCAATATTAGGTACATGGCGGCAATAGGGCTTAAACTTGGTATACTACGTATTTTCGGTGACATTGTAATATGATGGTACTATGATGCATATCATCTGGTACCATAATATAATACCATATTATTTACATAGCGTTCGATTGGGCTTAAATTTGGGATACTACGTATCTTCGGTGATATTGTAATATTATGGTACCATGGAGCATAATAAGAGGTACCATAATATAGTACCATATTACGATACCATTTCCTGGCGTTCGATTGGACTTAAACTTGTTATACTACGTATCTTCGGTTACATTGTAATATGATAGTACTATGATGCATATAAAGTGGTACCTTAATATAGTACCATATTTTAATACCATTTCCTGGCGTTCGATTGAGCTCATATTTGATATATACTTGCGTATTTTTGATGACATTGCATTATTATGGTACCATGAAGCATATCAACTGGTACCATAATATAGTACTATATTACGTACATGACGTTCGATTGAGCTTAAACTTGGGATACTACGTATTTTCGGTGACATTGTAATATGATGGTACTATGATGCATATAAAGTGGTACCTTAATATAGTACCATATTACGATACCATTTCCTGGCGTTCGATTGGGCTCAAACTTGGTATACTACGTATCTTCGGTTACATTGTAATATGATTGAACTATGATGTATATAAAGTGGTACCTTAATATAGTACCATATTACGATACCATTTCATGGCGTTCGATTGTTCTTAAATTTGGTATACTACGGATCTTCGGTGACATTGCAATATTATGGTACCTCAAAGTATATCGAGTGGTACCATAATATAGTACACTATTATGATATCATTTCCTGGAGTTCGATTGGGCCCAAATTTGGTATACTTGCGTTTCTTTATAAAGATTTGTTTAATTAATAATTTTAATTTATTTTACGAATTTTAATTTATTGTTCGATGTCGTGACAGCAACTTTTATGCCGAACTAATATACTATTAATTGTACCTGTGTCACTTCTTAAAATCTTCCTAGGTCTATATAAATAACGTGGCAAACGGAAGAAATTTGTTATTATAGTATTTTTTAGTCAGTTAACATTTTTTGTACTGCATTTTAATAAATTATTTCCATTATTATTAAACTTATATTTCATTACTAACGTTCCAGCATTAATAAATATGTCTGTATATATACTATCAATCGCCCTGTATATTATTAATTTTAAAGGTAATTAAAGGTATTTTCTTAGTTAACATTATAAGGTATAGTGTATATTAAAAATGTATATGTTTTGTAATAATATACTTAAAACTATTTTAATAGCCAGAGGAATAATTAATATAAGTGTATTTGACAAAAAAAGAAGAATAGAAAGAAACACATACTGCATTATACACAATAAAAAGAATGGGATGCCAATTCACGTCTTTTTGAATCTGGCAACTGTGCATATTTAGCCGAGCTATAAGGCCGTCGACGAGCCGTCGATCCAAAACCGATAGTTCAAAATTTCTAATTATATTCTGATTATGATATTGTCGCGCCATCTAGCATTCTATTTGTGCAATT